CCTTTCGGAAGTAGCTCTCCTGGACCAGGCCATGAGAGCCCCGATGGCGCCAATCGAAATACCTCGCCAGTATTTCTCAGCCATCATAGTAGCAGACGAGAAAATAATAAAATATATAGAGGGTTCGTCGACACGTTATTTCGCGAAGGTTTTACAAGGCGAATTGAGGACGAGCGGTTCGGTATTATTCAAAAACTCCTGGCCAACAGAGCTACCTGACAACATCCTCCACAGCCCAAAAGGGATTGAAGTTTACAAAAAGCCACATATAAAAACATCCGATTACCTGGACGCTCTACGACGCATGAGGCGTGTGGGCGACAGGATTACAGGCAATCTAAGGAATGACCTTCTGCGCGTCGCGAGCCAGGATGCTCATGCTTCTCTAATCTGGCAGTGTTTGGCATTTGCCTGTATTTACCATAAAAGTAATGTGGGCGCCAACCTGCCAGATTTTGAGAAAGTCTCAGCGGAAACTTACTTTGCCACCGCCGACGGCAGAGATAAACATGTAAACCATGTCGTGACCCTCCAAGAAGTCATAGATACAGTACAAAAACCAGCATCCCTCCTTGTGGCATTCACCATTGGTTTTGCGACCGGCAAACAAGGCCCAAAATATCTAACACCAAAATTGACTAACTGGGCGAAAAAAATGGAGAAAATGTACATGCCAATGTGGCTGGTAAACGGAAATAATAACGATTGCGACATCTGGGCCTTGGTATGGCGAGGTCGAAACGACGGAGCGATTCCTAACTGTAAGAGTATCTATATTATTTTTCTGTTTTTAACCCAATAACCAAATAACCCAATAATTTCTTTCGGATGTTGCAGACATGCATTTGTCCACAAAAATGTGGTCACAAGCGAATTTGGGTACAGTTTCTGGCCTCATACCCAAAAAAACAGTGGACACGGCGTTTGGGCAAAATACATTATATAAGACTCCTTCTCCAGCGTCAGTTAATGGAACAGACACCATTACACAAATGGTTGAAAAAATAAAAAATAGAGCGGCCAACGTACAAACCATCGACAAACAAACGAACGTGGTTACGTTGAATAAAATTGCGCTGAGAAATAAGGCCTCAATGGAGTTGTACAATAAAACGGAGCGTCAAATTCGCGAGCTCTTGGTAGATGTCATGACAGCTAGGTCTAAAATCCTTGAAGAAGAAATAACTTTAAGGTTATATCTAAGCGATCCACTTGCTGCTGCAAACAGAGAACAACAACAACAACTGCAGCTCAAAATAAACAAGAAAGAGGAGCAAAATAAAAAAAAGAAAATTGAGAAAGAGATGCGCGCGAAGCAGCAAATACTAACAACGGAAGTGCTAGCAACCTTATCAGGAAAATCTACGGCACCTCCAGCTGGACGTTCAGCTCCTGTCATTTTAGCAGACGAAGTCGTGCTTGGTGATAAAATAAAAATAGCGGTAATACCATTAAAAGTTTGAACCCAATAACCCAATAACCCAATAACCTAATAATTAACTAAAATTACCATTTTCAGCTTGTCGACAGGGTCAATGCGCCAAAGTTACCACCGATCGAAGTGCCAACCTTTGACGGCAGGCATGAGCACTGGCCTCGGTGGAAGGAGAGTTTCAAGGCGTTGGTCCACGATCGCTCGGATATAATCGCGTACGAGAAACACGCGCAACTGAAACGCGCGGTCAAGGGGGGTTTGGCTGAGACGGTCATCGCTGAGTACATCATAAGCGAGGAAAACTATTCTCTCGCTTGGGACTTACTCTGCAGGGCTTACGATCAAAAGCGCATTATCGTCACCGAACATCTAGACAAACTGTTGTCCTTACCCAAGCTTACCGAAGCAAAACAAGCAACTTTAACGAGTTTGATGTATACGATGCGTCAACACGTCAGTATGCTTAAGTCCTTGGAAGTCAATGTCGGCGAGGAAATGTTAATCCGCCTTCTCGAACGCGCCTTGCCCTCTAGTGTCGTCACACACTGGTCAAGCGACTTATTCGCCAAATTAGAAGACCTTTATACATTCATTCAGGATACTACTTTCAAACTTCGTCAATTAGAAACGAACGCATCGGCTTCGCATGTGTCAAAAAAGAGGGCAGGAGAAACCACTGGACGCGGTCCGAATAAAACGCAGAAGGTAGATGCGCGTATCCTTGCCACTACCACCGACACCGATGCGTCGAGCAACGCGTGCCTCAAATGCGGTCAATCACATCGCTTGTACAAGTGCTCTGCTTTCAAAGAGCTCAACCTCAACGAAAAATGCCGTTTCGTCAACCAGCATAAATTATGCAGAAACTGCCTTTACGTTCACCCCTCTGCTTGCGACAGTACCAAGAGATGTCGGGAAGCAGGGTGCAATCAAGCGCATCGCACTTTACTTCATCCTCATAAAAAATCCCAGAATATGGATCCTTCAAAACAAAAAACGACTTGATTATATCCAGTTATAATGCTTGCGTCTAACGCTTATCGCCCTGATTCTCAGCTCATGGCTACCGCAATTTTGAAATTTCGAACTCAACAAGGAAGTTGTCTCATGGCACGTGCATTGTTAGATTCCTGTTCAAACGCTAACTTGATGACTCAAAATTTTCTTGATCGCTTGCAATTAACAACTAAACAATGTTTCGTTAATATTGGAGCAGTTGACGATTCGAGCACTGTTTCAGAAAAATATACTATAGCTACCTTTTTTTCTACTTACAACAATACAGAACACAATTCAAATTTCTTGATAGTACCTACAATAGTTGATAAAGTGCCCAATGAGACTTTGCCTCGAGAAAAGTTCAATATTCCAAAAAATATAAACGTGGCCGATCCGCAATTTCACGCGCCGCGATCTGTCGATGTTCTACAGGCATCCCTCGTTATACGCGGTTTTGTTATACGCGGATTACCCTTATACGCGGATTGCGATTTGTGACCGTCCCGCGTTTTACGCCGTAACAGTCAGCCTTATACGCGGTTTACTCGACGCAATGTTCAGTTCAATTTTTTTGTTTTTGTTTATAAATTTTCATAACCTTTAACATTGTACATTTCTATTTGGTTCACACTACTTTCTTATAACGTCAATAGTATTTCCAAATTTAAATCATGGCACCACCACGCACTCTAATGAAAACTCCAAGAAAAACGCCTTTAAAGAAAAATCGAAAAGTAATGAGTTTGGCAGATAAATTAAAAATTTTAAATTCACTTCGAGACGGAGATAAAGTTGCTGCAATTGCTAGACGTTTCGAAGTAAATGAATCAACCATTCGCACGATTCGGGATAGCGAAGCGAAAATTCGTGAAAGTGCACAAATTTTGGGCCAGCATGCTCAGGCAGCAAAAGTTGTTCGTCATAATTTCATTGAAAAAGCAGAAGAGATGCTTATGATTTGGATTCAAGATTTTATACACAAAAAAATTCCTCTTAGTACAGCGGCAATTAGAGATCAAGCTATCGTTTTTCACACTCACCTGTGTGAAAAATACAATAAAACTGAAAAGTTCAACGCGAGTAAAGGATGGTTTGAAAGGTTTAAAGCCAGATTCATGCTGCATAATGTCAAATTCTCAGGTATAGAATGTAAAAATAAAATATAAATAAAAAATAAAAACTTAACTTGAAAATAAGAATGAAAATCAAAATATTTAGGTGAAAGTTCTAGTGCGGATCATGAAGCTGCTCGTGTATTCCCAGCACAAGTTCGAGAAGTTATTGCTGAAAAACATTTTGTTCCCGATCAAATTTTTAATTGTGATGAGACTGGACTTTTTTGGAAAAGAATGCCATCTCGAACATGGTTAACGAAAGAAGAATTGAGAGCGCCAGGTTTCAAAGTAGCGAAAGATAGGTTTACTCTCTTATTCTGTGTTAACGCCACTGGAAATTTAAAATGCAAACCTATGCTCGTGTATCGTTCAGAAAATCCTAGAGCATTAAAAGGAAAAAATAAAGAACAGCTACCCGTCCATTGGACTTCGAACAAAACTGCATGGGTAACAAGAAATAATTTTGAGAATTGGTTTTTGCATTCATTTATTCCAGAAGTGAAAGAATTCTTAGCCAAAAAAAATCTCGCTTTCAAAGTTTTGTTACTGCTTGATAATTACAAGAGCCATGATGGATGTTTGCAAACAGCTCATCCTGATGTCGAAGTGATGTTCCTTCCTCCCAACACAACGTCATTGATTCAACCGCTAGATCAGACTGTCATAGCAACTTTCAAGTCTTATTATTTAAGACGTGTTATAAAATCATTAGTCCAAAAAGTAAATCTTCACCGGACTTGCGACAATTTTGTTCCCGACAATGTTGTCAGACAATATTGGAAAATGTTTTCAATCATGGATGCAATCAACTTCGTTGAAGAGGCCTGGACTGAAGTTAAATTGACCACTGTAAACCAAAGCTGGAAAAAGCTGTTACCGGAAGTAGTTGCAGCAAGTGACGCCGAGCAGCAATCAAATTATCAAGACACAGTGCGAGAGGTCATAGCCTTGGCTCGAGAAGTCGAAGGTGAAGGGTTCCAAGATCTTGAGGAATCGGAGGTTCTAGATCTTGTGGAAGAAAGAACTGACTTGACACCTGAAGAAATCGAAGTACTTTCGAACAATCCGCCTGAAGAAGAAACTGAAGAAGGCCTTACACGAACGACGTCCGAAACCATTTTCGATGCTAAAGCTGTTGTGGAAATTATCAATCTTATTAACATGGCATCCGAACAAGCTGTGCAAAAAGATCCGATAATGGTTAGAAGTTTAAATTTCAAACGACAATGCGATTTAACTATATTGATTTACGATGAATTATATAGAGACATTTTGAGAAGAGCTAAGCAAGCAAAATTGACTGATTATTTTCAAAATAAATAGTACTGAATCATATATTTTGATTTCTTTGGAACGTAACCCCTAATTTCCCATAAGCGTAAGGTCTCGTTATACGCGGTTTCGTTATACGCGGTACTTTTTCGGAACGTAACTACCGCGTATAACGAGGGATGCCTGTATTAGCATCTGGTCCCACAATAGCTTCTTTGGCAATAGGCCAGATAAAATTAACTAGTAGTAGTTCCATGATCACTCTCCAAAAAACCTTGTTTAGTTGGATAGTCGCTGGAGGTTCAGACGTCAATGGGCCTCTCGATTCCATCTCGTGTAAGGTCGTAAAATTGGATCAGCTGTTCGAGAGATTCCTCACCATCGAAGACCTGGATTACCATCCTGTTAAATCTCGCGACGACGTGGTTTGCGAGGAACACTACGTTCAAACTACCACCAGGGACGAGTCAGGTCGTTACGTCGTTCGACTGCCGTTCCGCCTCGAGAAATTTGAATTGGGTTCCTCCAAACAGCAAGCGTTAAGCAGATTCCACGCCCTGGAGAGGAAGTTCAAGGCGAACCCTGCATTCCAGGCCGAGTACGAGAAGGAGCTCAATGGATATCTAGAGCTCGGTCACATGACTCTGCTAGAGGTGGACGACGAAGACGGGTACTACCTCCCTCATCATGCGGTCATCAAAAGGTCTAGCGATACCACGAAGTGTAGGGTAGTCTTTGATGCGTCCGCAAAAACCTCCACCGGAATTTCGTTGAACGATTCCTTGTTGACAGGGCCTACCATTCAGCCGAAACTTCAAGAACAACTCGTTCAGTTAAGATCTCATTTGTTCGCCGAAACTGCAGACATCGAGAAGATGTACCGCCAGGTGTTGATGCATCCAGAGGACCGGAAGTTCCAGAAAATCCTGTGGTACCATGAGGGTGAACTTCGTACTTTCGTTCTGAACACCGTGACTTTCGGCATTAAATGCGCCCCCTTTCTAGCTATTCGAACGCTGGTTCAGCTCGCTCTCGACGAAGAAGCCGACTTTCCGCGGGCTTCGATTCTCCTTCGCCGCGACTTCTATGTCGATGATTTCCTTTCAGGTGCATACACGCTGGAGGAACTCCTTGCCATCCGAGACGAGATGATTCAGCTGCTGGCGAGAGGAGGTTTCACCATTCGCAAATGGGCCTCTAACCATCCATCAGCGTTAGACAACATCGATAAAAAGATTTTTGATTTGGATTGCGGAATCCAAGGCAATCCCATTAAAAAGACTCTTGGGATCGTCTGGGATTCTCAACGCGATACTTTCACGTATTCAGTTGATCTCGAAGATCCGAAACTCGTTACAACTAAGAGGAAGCTGCTTTCCCAAATTTCAAAAATCTTCGATCCCTTAGGTTTGATCGGACCTCTAGTTCTCTTCACTAAAGGCTTGATGTCAGATTGTCATAAGGCAAAAATTACTTGGGACGAGTCACTGCCTCAGGACATTTATACAAAGTGGGTCGCGTTAGCCGAACAACTTCCCCAATTGACAAAATTTTCTGTACCTCGAAGCTTAAGATGCGCAAACTCAATTTCTACTCAAATACACGGGTTTTGCGATGCGTCCATGAACGGATACGGTGCGTGCTTGTACATCCGCTCTGTCGATGCGTCAGGCGAGGTCACCGTGAGACTAGTCTGCAGTAAAAATAAAGGCCCATCTTTGAGTCAACACACGATTCCTCGACTTGAATTAGCTGGAGCTTCACTCCTAAAAACATTGTATCTTGAGACAAGGGATCGGCTGTATTCTCCGGTCGATCGGGTAGTTTTCTGGTCAGACTCAACAATCGTTCTTTGTTGGTTAAAAAAGGCTCCGCATCTATTGAAAACGTTCGAAGCCAATCGAGTAGCTGACATTCAAAAACTAGGTAACGAGGCTGAATGGAGACATGTCGGTTCAAAGGACAATCCAGCTGATCCGTTGTCGCGCGGACTGGTACCCGGCGATCTTATACGTAGCACCCTCTGGAAATCAGGCCCCGAGTGGCTCAGCCTCGCCGACGAACACTGGCCTCCGACGCCGCAATCCGTTTCGAACAACCCTCCTCATGCGGGAGACGGACTCGTTTTCCTCATCCATACTTCAGCTAGCAGTATTTACGCCCGATTCTCAGATTACGGCTGTCTTCTTAGGTCGATAGCGTACCTCTTGCGTTGGAAAAATGAGGGAACTCCGTCGGGCGACTCAGATCAAGTAACTCGATCAAAGGCAGGCGTCCGTTATTTATCATCATCCGAAATAGCAACCGCAGAGCGCCGGATTCTCCTTATGATTCAAAGTGAAAGCTTCGGTCCCGAATTTAAAATTCTCTCGGCCGCGCAAAAACCCAATGTAGGAAATGTTAAAGGTTCAATCAAACGTCAAACTAAGTTTGGCGAACTCAATCTATTCCTAGGTAGCGACGGTTTAATCAGAGTGGGGGGACGTTTAAAGAAATCGGATTTGCTTTTCAATCAAAAACATCCTGTCTTACTTCCCAGCAATCATCACGTTTCCGATCTTATCATCCGTGATGCTCACGAGCGTAATCTTCATGGAGGGATCCAAGCAACTCTCTATGCCATACGTGAGCGATTTTGGATTCTCAACGGTAGGAACCAAGTTCGACACGTTGTCCATCGATGCGTTCCCTGTATTCGTCAGAAACCCAAATTCGCGCATGCGAAAATGGCGGATTTACCTGAGTCCCGCGTTATCGGCGCTTTCCCATTCAATCACACGGGAGTTGATTTCTTCGGCCCAATTTTAATCAAGGAAAAGAGAGATCGGAATCGAAGCTTCATCAAAGCTTATGGTTGTGTTTTCGTATGTATGGCCTCTAAGGCAGTCCACATCGAGCTCGCTTCTGATCTTTCGACAGAAGCGTTTTTGGCATGTTTTGATCGATTCTTGTCAATACAAGGAATACCAGAACGAATGTATTCCGATAACGGTACAAATTTGGTAGGCGCGAATAACGAACTGCAAAAAATTTACGATTTACACGGGACGCCGGAATTCAAAGACGCCATTCAAGGTCACGCCGCGTCCAATCGAATCGACTGGCATTTTAACCCACCTCTTTCTCCGCATTTCGGCGGATTATGGGAGGCTGCAGTTAAAAGCTTTAAACATCACCTTCACCGTGTTATTAAAGATCGAAAGCTAACGTACGAGCAATTAGATACGCTTCTAAAACAGATAGCGGCGATCCTTAATTCTCGACCCTTGTATTACATTTCCGCTGATCCAAAAGATCCGCTTGCAATAACTCCCGCGCATTTGTTGATTGGTCGTCCGTTCCGATTCTTACCCGAGCCCGATTTTGTTTCAGTTCCTGACAACCGGTTACGCACGTACCAAATCATACAGAAGGCCAGACAGGATTTCTGGAAGAAGTGGCGAAAAGAGTATTTGCACGAGCTCCAAACTCGACAAAAATGGTTGACCTCCAACACGACCTTAACACCCGGGTCCGTGGTCTTGTTGATGGAGGACAATCCTGCGTGTGCGAGATGGCCGCTGGGTGTGGTCGAAGAGGTTCACCCTGGGAGCGATGGCATTGCTAGGGTAGCAACAGTCAAGACGGCCTCGGGAGTCTACAAGCGAAACATCACGCGGCTTTGTATCTTACCAGTAGCTTAGGATGATACGCTCGCGTCGGAGTCTCAACAAGACCCCCCATAGTGATCGTTTGTTACGCTCTGAATGTGCGCGATCAGGTTTGCCAAAAACGAGTTGAACCTCATCGTATTTCAGGAATGCGAATTGAAGCCTGGTCCGAGAAGGGTGGAATCGGGATGTTCCACAGCTAAAAGCCAAGAATCATGCCGAGAGGGTGATTCTTGTGTCGGGGTAGGCAGTCGGGAAACTGAGTCTCTGTTAAGATTTCGACAGTGTGGCTGTCATGCGAATTGTGAATTAGTGAATTACTTAAAAATTGCGTCCTTCGAAGACCTTGTCTAGGCTTCGTGTTGTTACCAAAATTAAGCGAGTTCTTAAATTTAAATTTTATGTTCATGTTATTAACTGATAAACCTATCTGTTGTGATATCGTTGCTAATCAACAAGACAGTCCCTCCAACGGAAACTGACCTTTTTTAAGGTTTACTGAACCAAAGACTAGATTAAAATCATTGTAAATACTAATGTACATACTAAATACTAATGTAATCAATGCGTGTTAAGTCTAACCCTGCTCTATCGTTGTAATATCAACTAATCTCGCAGCCCCGGCCGGCAGTATGTTACGGCGCAACATTTACCTAAATGTAAACCGTGCATTTAGGTGATAAAACAAACTCTCGCGCCTGCGCGCGCAAGTGTGTATGAGTGGATGGTGGCAGCACCTGTTGGCTCGCGCGCGAACCGCGCCGAGCCGCGGGCTCGCTTCCGCCTCGACCGGCAGTAGTTGACTGCGACGCGACGAGTGCGGCAGCAGTTCTCCGACGCGACTCTTATGAGTACCTAAGTACGGTAAAAGTCTTGTCATCGTTTTCTCGGACGCGAAACGATTGTACTCACGTACGGTCACTTGTACTCACGTACAAAACCCAAAACCTCCTGTACCCACGTACGGCCGTGCTTTCTCAGCACCTCAAAACTCGTCACTCACGTGGCAAAAGTGTGAAATTCAGCGAGCTCGTTGAGTGCGGTGTGGAGTGTGTGTGTGTGTTCGGCCACTCACGTGGCGGCGTTTCAAGTTCGCGACCACGCGCCTTTGTTCTCGCGCGATCAAATTTTCTTCCCCCTTTTCTGTACCTTTCTTGTAATTCTTAGTGTGAGTGCTTTAATAAAAGGGTTTTTATGCCTTTATGGCTTTTCCCTGTACGTTACGCATTAAATTTATTAACCTCGGTTCATTTCTTGTTCGCATTCAAATAAAAAAAAAAGGGGAAAAATTTTAACTAAGCTGGCTTGGCGCTCACCAACCAGCACGCGACTTTTCAATATTGATCAACCGGGTGACTCGCTTAGCATAGATAGTCTAGATATTCTTGAGCACATTCGTAGACTTTAGTTTATTTAAATAATTTCAGTATATATGCATGTATATATAGTCTTAGTGTATTTATTTAGTTTTTATTACATATGCGTAAATACGTATATGTTAGTTGCGTTTTAATAATATATTCAAGTTTATTAGAAATAAAGGTTGAGTTATACTTTATTTTAACATGGATTATGAATGTAGCCAATGTCAATCTTTATTTGACGATCTGAATTCCTTATACATACATATAAAAAAAAGCCATGTCTTGTTGAACAACTTCCGTTGTATAATTAAATCGTGTTCTAGAATTTACAGTACTTTCAATTCTTTTAATAAACACATTTTAACGAAGCATAGTTCGTGTTTTGCCTCTAGTACAGAACCAATAATTTTTGATAACTCGTGTTTTGTAGAACACTCAGACTCCTCTAAAGCTGAGGAAATAGAGTTTCTCAATGTGAATAACATCGATGAAATTTATTCAGATGATTCAGTTATTGATGATGATTTCAATGAAGCTGATTTCGGTATCCCACAATCTCCATTCAATAATTTATTAAATGATGCCGTGATAAAATACACTGCCAATATTTGTAATTTAAAATCAATGCCAAGAAAATATGTTGATCATGTTTTGCATGAAACAAATGAATTTTTAGAAAATATATTAAATCTCTTGAAAAAAAAAAATATTATTTGAAATGAACAATGCTGATTCTAATAATGTTGTCGATAAAATATTTAACGATTTTTCAAACTCCTTAAATATTGTTTCAACTGAATCAAAAAGATTAAACATTTTCAGAAAATTAGGAACCTACATTGATCCAGTAAGTATTCATATTGGTGAACGAAAAGAATATAAAAATGTGACTGGGAATCAAGCTTTGATACACGTACCACTCAATATGCAATTTATTCCTCTGCGTAACGTTTTAAAAAAATTTTTTGAACTACCTGGGTTATATGACGAAATACTAAAATATATGAACAGCCTAAAGTCAAATAATAAAATTATTAGTAATCTAATACAAGCAGATTATTGGAAAGAACGTATTCCAACTTTCAGTAATAGAACGGTGTTCCCACTAATTATGTATTATGATGATTACGAGAATAATAATTCATTAGGGACACATAGAGGTATTTCGAAAACAGGTGCAGTGTACATAAGTATACCAACGTTGCCAGTGCAGTATCAAGCAAAAATTGAAAATATATTCTTACTTACTCTATTTAATACAATTGATAGGAAGATTTTGAAAAATCCTACTATATTAGCAAAAGTAATAGATGAAATAAACTTTTTATGCAAACAAGGAATAGAAATAAAATTGCCTAGTGGTTTAGTACATATTTATTTTGAATTAGCATTGTTCGTTGGGGATAATTTGGTACTCCATTCCATTTTAGGTTTGACAGAAAGCTTTAAAGCGAATGTATTTTGTCATCACTGTCTCATCACACAATCTGAGAAAAAGTTAGTTTCCTTAGAAAGTCAATGTACGCTTCGAACTGTACAAAATTATGATGAACAATTACAATTAAAAAATTCAAAAATCACTGGCATTCAAGAAGAATGTGTTTTGCATAAAATTTCAAATTTTCACATGACAAGTAACGTCGCTGTCGATCCTATGCACGATTTATTAGAAGGGATATGTAGATACGACATGGCTTTTATTATAAATCATTTTATTTACGTTGAAAAATATTTTAAATTGGAAATTCTGAATGATCGGTTAAATGGTTTTAATTTTGGCCCAGGATACAACATTAATAAACCTCCTATGATTAATGAAAAATCAATAAAGAATGGTTGCATAATTTTAACATCTTCGGAAATGTTATATTTTGTCCAAAATTTTAATTTAATAATTAGTGATTTAATTCCTTCAGGGAATGAACAATGGGAAATGTACTTGACCTTGAAAGAATTAATAAATATTGTATTCAGCGATAATCTTCATCCGCATACTTATAAGTTATTGGAGTCAATAGTATATGAATATTTGACCGTATGTAAAAACCTTGAATATGAAATAAAACCGAAACATCATTTACTTGTTCACTATGCACGAAATATGAAATTGTTTGGCCCTTTAAGTAAAATAAGTTGTTTACGGTTTGAATGTAAGAATCAAGAGGGAAAAAATGTGTCTCGAAATACAACAAATCGCATAAATATAAATAAAACTATTGCGATTAGACATCAGTTACACTTAAGTTGTAGATTTCTCATTATGAAAGTTAGTCAATCTATATTTTCATCAAAAAAGCAACAACAAAAAATTATTACCGACTTGGACAATTATAATGAATTCTCTCATTTAATAAATGAACGTAATATAGTGAGTGTTCAATCAGTAAAATATTTAGATAAACTAATTAAAAAAAATATTATCTTACTACAATTCTCTTCATCTGAACTTATTTTTAATATAGTACATGAAATAATTTTTATTAATTATGAATATATTTTTATTGTCAAAAAATTAAATAATAACTTTTATGATGAGAAATTACAATCTTATAAATTGGGTAATTTAAATGATTTTATTTAGAATAGAATAAATGGTAAAGATATTCAGTTCAGTAAAATTGTTAACATGGTGCAGTTACCCGATGGTCAATATTATATATCAAAAACATGGTTGTAATCGAATAGCATGAATAATAAAATATCATAATTAAAATAATAATGAATATTGTTCGTTTGTTTTTCACAGTCCTTTTTGCATTCTTACAGTACTAACTATTACTATTAATTTAATTATTATATTAATTTATGTTAATGAAGTAAAAACTATTAGTCGATTCTAAAGTCTACCAATAACATTGACTGAAAGAATAGCTAGTCTTTTCAGATATACGCATTGAAGCAGTGATAGCTCAATCAGTAGGGTGTCTACCTGGTAAAGTGAAAGTCGTGGGTTCAAGACCTAGTCACTGCCGAAATTTTTCGAATAAAAAATCTTTCTCACCCTCAGCGAATTTACTTGAACTACTATGTACTAATCATAAGTCTTAGCTAGGTTAATTACTTAATTAGGTTTTAATAGGTAAATATAAAGAAATGTTTGTATGTATCGCAAAAGCGTGTATATGTATATTCGCTTGTGTGTGATGAGAGTGAAAATATCAGCTGAACTGAAGTTGCAAGTGAAGAAGCCGTGGAATCACGGAAGATATATCATATATCTATAAACTAATTAAAAATTTTTGCCTTTTTCTGTCGTAGTAAAAATGGTTTTCTGCGTCATAAAATTTGCTATTTTATATAGTAAAATTTATCCTAGCATCTACTTTTCGTAAGGCGATCGCGGAGCACCAATTCTCGAGCACGCGTTAACTGTTTCAAATTTAGATTTGCCATCGCAACACATCACACCGAACATCTTACACCGCGTTAAATCCATACCGAATATCGACCTGACTTCTCAACAAAACGCTCATGCAAGAATTTTGATCGGTCAAGATAACAATAGATTAATAGAATCTGACAAGTCTGTACTCATAGAAGGAACAGGCCTCGTGATCTCGCGTTCGTTACTGGGCTGGGCAATACATGGGTTTCTTGAAGACGGAAAAGAAGGGGCTTGTAGCCTGCAAGTTCACGCAATTTGTTGCTCGAAAGTGACCGTAGAATGTG